ATCACAGGTTGCATGCAGTGAATTGTTAGCAACATCGAGAATTCTGGATATACATATATGTATATATATATATATATGAATCATTTTTTAAAGTCTTCAGGTCAGTTTTGTAACATTTTCCATGAAAAATCATCTGAGTTGCAAATAATACATATGGCAAATTAATTTTAAAGGATAGCAATGTGACAGGGGAGGAAGCATTTTTTATGCAATGGCAGCAGTCTACTTACATTTGACATACTTAAGATAGAATTCAACTAAAGTAATGCTGAAGAGTTACAGGCCATATATATTTTCAATTTAAGATCTTATCCATAATAAATGATAAAAGCTAGCAGTAACCTACTGCCAGGCACTTTAAAGCATTTTCCATATTGTATCATATTTAGTTGTCATATCATCATGTTAGGTAGCTACCTTTACTAGTCCCCTTTTACATAATTATAAACTGAGGCTCAGGGAGATGACATAAGGTTTTGTATAATTCAGCTTTTGAGTAGCACACTCAGGAGTCTGACCCAGGCAGTTTGGCACCAGCATAACCACTCTGCCATATTGCTTGTTAAAAGCCAAAAACACTGTGCTCTAGGTAGACATTTGACAGACAGACATCGGCCAGGTACTCTTCAAATATTAGGGGCATGGCAGTGGATAGAAAAAAATATATATGGGCAAAACTTCCAGCCCTCATTAGATTGAAAATTTCTTGGAGAAAGGCAGATAATAAGCAAGCCAATAAGGAAGTACACTATTGATAAAGGAACTAGTGATAGGTTCTATGCAAGAAATTAAAGCAGGGCTGCAAATCAGAAGGACAGAAGAGGGGAGCATTTTCAATCGGATATTCCCATTGACCTGAAGGCAGGAATAGTTCTGTGACTGCAGGTTTATGATTCAAAGCCCTTAGTATTGACCACATTTTGTTGAACACGCCTGACCTTATTTGTTCATGTGCCCTTTGCAAATGGTCTGTTGTTTATTTCCATTAGGCATTTGCCCATTCGTCACAGTTCTTTCAATTCAGGATAAAAATATTTCTTAGCAGTTTTATTTTAAAGTGTCTCCTAGCCATCCTATCCCCTGTATTATGAAAGGAAAAATTGGTTTGTCTCTACCACCTTTGTGTTATCATATTGAATATGTTTTCATCTGAAACATCACAGAACTTGTGACAGCATGTTGATTTCCTATCCTAAGGTTCTTCGTGGAAGGAAGGAACTACTCCTGGCCACAGTGTGCAAGTGCTCTTTTTAAAAGGTCAAAGGATAGGGGGATGGGATGGAAATGATGCAATGGCTCTCCTTTGGGAAAAAATTCATGTCCTCCCTTGGTCCCCTAGCTCCTCCTGCCATGAGCAGGAAAACAAGAATACTTAGATTGGGGCCAGCAAAAAGGATTGAGAATTTGTATTGTGACCAAGAGTGAGGCTATTTTTTGCTTAATCAATAAGACAGAGAAGTCAAATCATCCTACTTGTTTTTCATTCAGAAATTTTCCAGGAGGTGTAACCAGGAGCCCTTCTCCCTGGAGAAGCAGTCTCCATGCTCTCAGTTCCTCTACACCAGTTCTGCACACAACGATGATTCCTGGGCAAACATTTTAACTTCTTAGCTTCTTTAACCCCTGAGGGGAGGGACTCAGTCCCCAATGCTCCACTCAAGGGAAATCTTGTTCTACTATTAGATGATCAATAGGGAGAAACACGTTTGAATACAAGGCTTGAAATACTATGCTTATAAGTTAAAAACAATGTTCTTGCTGTGTTGCGTATGATGTTTTTGGAAAACTACCACAATAAAATAGGAAATATACCACTTTCAAGCTAATTCTGGAAAATGCTCAAATTTTAGGTTAAAAATAAATACATTAAGATAAAATTCTGAGTAGTTTTTCTAGGGTTATCACAGAATTCACCTCCATGGTAATGATAATGTCTGTGGATAACTGTTTTAAGATTGGTACAGCCCTTTCACATACATTTACTATGTAATCCTTTTATAGCCACAAACGCAAATGTGATGCAGAATTTTAAAATCTGTGTTGAGCTATGTTTGTAATATATTATTGTGTGGAAAAACAAATATGCTAAAATACTAAGATACAATAAAGCTATGCTCAATAATTTTCAATGTTCATAAAATGTCACTTCATTTTCTTAAATCATGGAAAACAAAAGATATGGGAACATATTAATATTTCTTTTGAATACCAATTTAAAGTTAAGGTGCATTTGAATACAAGAAATAACTCTAAAACCAGGTTTTCCTTGGAGGGAAATCTATTAAATAATTAGAACCTTAGTATCAGTGTTTTCATTACTAAGCTCAACACAAATTATAGCAATAAGCTTATCTTTTTTTTTTAACTAGGAAAACCTGTTTATTGAGCACCCCCTGTTAGACTGAAGGAAAGCGTGGGCACCCACTGTGTTTTCCCCTGGCAGGAAAATGTTAGCATTTTAGCATTTGGCAAGCTGAAGGTTTTGACTGTGACTGAATCAGAGCTTTGAAACCACTCTTCTTGATTCAGGGCTCAAGATGTGAAACAAGGACAAACTGGAACTTGTAAAATGTGGGTAGAGCAGAATGCTAAATGGAATGGGCAAGAGAACAGGGCCACACTCAGGTAGAAACATAATCTTCCCCTCAGAAAACAAGGGCAACAATGTATTGCATAGCCACCCAATCTCTTGACTGGCAGAGTCTGATATGACAGTGTCCTACTCAAAAGTGGTGGGAGAGTGCACTACTTGGAATACGTGTCTGCTCTTCACAGTCTGGGGAAGAATTCAGTCTCCTTCATCAGGCTGATGAAAGTGCTCACTATTCCTCTGCTTCTGGGTCTTCTGTTACAGAGCTTCAACCCACGTATATTTCTCCCCCAGTCTGGTTATCATTCTGCTTCACCAGATTCTAGTATCACTGCGCCAGCCAAGGCCGAACTGGTTCAGCCATTCTATTTTCATGTCATATCATCTTGGGTTCCCTGTGTCATTTGTTTGTTTGTTCTTGTGAGTGAAGTTTCCCCCCTGAAGTACAGTTGTTTTATAGGTGTAAGTTTGGGTTATCCTCACATAGATTTATTTGCTTTAGAAAATCATTTTCTCCGGAAGTAGGGACAGGGATGAGATTCAAGACACTCTGCATTAGGTATTTGAAAAACAAAAAAGTAGCCTGCTCCTCATTATCAAAAACATGTAAGAATGTTTCTTTAGATGTTTAATATAATTTTTTTTGCTTTACCCACCCACAAAACTGTCTTCTCCACATCATAAGTAATCCTCATTCAATCCCATTATTATTATTATTATTATTATTATATCCCATCCCTTGCTGAGGCTCAGTGGCCACCACCTCTGTTGTAAGAGCAATACTCAAAGTCACAGTTCTCCAGAATCCACTGCATTCTCTCTTGACTTCTTGACAGGCTCTCCAAATATCCCCTCCCTAATAATAATATTTCGGTGCACCAGACCAAAGCTAAGATATTTTCAATCACCTTCCATACCTGCAAATTCTGGGCAGTGCCTAAGAAAGACAGAAGAAATGATGCCTTCGACTTATAGTGGTGAGGAATAGTAGATGAATGGTCTCTCAGAAGGACAAATCTGTCTTGGAAGACGTACAGCTGGAATGCGCTTTAGAATGGAGGCTGCCAGGGATCACATGCTTTCCTGTGGTTTGGAAGGAAGAAGTCCCTGGAGAAGGACATCACACTTGGGGCAGGGCAAGGAGAGGGAGAGTGGCAAGGACATGAGATTGTCAGTGGCTACAATGGGCTCACAGGCAGCAACTGTGTTGAGGTTGGCTCCGGACGCCCTTCGTGTAAACGGTGTTGTACACAGAATTCCTATGAGTAGGAATTAATAGCAGGCCTCCTAACAACAACACAATTACAAAAGCTAAAATAAACGGAATTTCCAAAAATCCCTCCCCAGGCCTTGGAAATGACTCAGGAGACACCATTTGTGTTTCTAATGAAGGGTGCTGGAGGTGACAAAAGCCTCTGTCTGTCTGGACCCTGGGGCATTTCACAGAGGTGGGGAAGAGTCCGGTGAAACAGGCAGAGATGTGCCCCTGACCAGAGAGGTGTCTGGTTCTAGTCCTCCCTGGAAAACCGGAAGCACTTTGAGGGGTGAAGTCACAGGCTCAAGGTTGGAATAAAGGCGGGAATTCAGCATTAAGGGCCCTGTGGGGGTGGGGTGGGGCAGGGGGTAGGATGTATATTTGTCTTATTTTTGACTTAATAAGCAGTCCGTTTTGTCCATCAAAATATGAGCATTGAATAAAACGAAGTTGACCTTCACCTACCGGTGGCCAGGCTGTACTCCCTGCTTCTTAGAACTCCTACCCCCCGCAGTGCTGATCCAGTCTCTCCTGGGTCCAGAGCGGGGGATACAGGTGGTGCCGGCACTAGGACCTAGGCTGCAGCCAGGCAAAAGATACCAAGGCCACAGCACCTCCCTTACTGGTGCCCTGGCTCATTAGCAGGTGGAATCACCCCGGAGGCGCCCGAGATCCCGCCAGCTTCAGTAGGAACCAATCCTGCCACCCTGGGCGCCCAGTTCGCCGGGGGCTGGCTGTGGACCACGGCGGCGCAGAGGTCAGCGTCCCTGGGAGCCTCAGCGTCCGGGAGAGCAGAGCAGGAGCTGCCCCTCATCTCTTTTTGGGCTAGGTTTTTGGGTGCTCCCTGTCATCGTCTCCCCCAACCCCGCCCCCCGCCCCGCGCACCCACGCCTCTTTCTGCTTCAGTTCCCTGGAGTCCCCAGTGTGCATCGACCGTTTCACGGAAAGCATGGGCCACCGCCGAGATTCCACAACTTGCACCCTGTGTGGCATAACCCAAATTCTTTCGGGAAGAAGGCGCCGGTGTTCTCAGCTCTGGGAGGGTGGAGATGACTAGGAGACCGCACTCCAGAACCCTCTTGCCATAGAATTCTCATCCCGCCCCACCTCCGCTGCCCCCGGGAGGGTCTGAACCTGGCCCAGACCCTAAGTTACCTGTTGGCCGCCAGCCGAGAAGCGATGTAACCACCTGGAATCTGGGTGATGATGTAGCCCCAAAAGAAGGAGCCGTGGATCATCCCCACGGTTTCTGGGTCCCAGTTGAATTTGGCTTTCTAGGAGGGGAAGGCACAAAAAGGCGGAGGGCGAGAAAGTCAGTGCTTGGGAAGGACACATGCTCGCTCATCAAGCCCTCCGCCCATCCCCCCTCCACCCTTGGAGCTGGGGCATTCCCAGTATCCACGAAGTGGATTGAATTTTGTTTCTTAAGAAAACGAATCTATATCCTCTTAGAAAGAAGAAATGCCTCTTTTTACTGGAAAATGGTGCTCATGAACGAAATATTTTGTAATTAATTTTTGGGACCACCAGCCAGACTTCTGCTTGGTGCCACTGTGAAGACTTACTGGTAGCTGAGACCAGAGTGTGGAATCCGCAGAAATCTGTCATCCCCGATTTCAGAAGGACCCAACCCCCACCTAGGCATTTGGATTCCCCAAGCCAACCAGTGATTTCCTGATCAGGCAGGGAGTGACAAACTGGACCCAGGACCCTTTAATCCACGCTGGACCTGAGAGGGTGCAGACACCTGGAAGCATGCAGAATGGAATCCAAAGCCCCTTGTCTAAAACCCAGGAAAGGGACACCTAGGGAAAGGGGGTGGGGGCTGAGAGTGCAGCTAGGGTGTCCTTGCAACTGGAGTGGGGGGCGGGGGAGGGGGGAGTGTGAGCGGCCATTGAGTGAGACAGGGGGAAGGAGCTGGGATCCATTCTGTGGGAAACAAGTGCCAGCTCAGGAATAGGTCCCTCACTCTGACCCTGACCCAAATATTCATCTTCAAATTGAACTGGGGCAAAATGCCCACCTCAGGGACTGAAGAGGTGCCAGGACCTGGGGATACTTTCCATCTTGTCGAAAACAATTTTGAAACTAAACGTAATTCGAAGTCTTCAACCTCCCTAGGGCCCAATGATGCCTGCAATCTTTTTGGGACCATCCCTAGCAAGCTTGTCTCCACCTGTTTTATGGTCATGTGGGTCCCTAAACTGAGAGTGGAGCCCTTGGGCTTCTGTGACCTTGACCGGACTACTCTCCCTTCCTAGGCCTCACCCTTCTCCCTGCACCTCCAGGTTACTGGGGCTGGATTCCCCCTGCTGGGGGACTCTCCAGCTTGGCTTGTAGTACTTCTCTGCCCACTAAACAGATGTTTTTGTAAAGGTCTCTTGGGTAGAAAGCTGGCCTGTGCACAGTTGATTGGATTTCTGTTTTCATGTTTTTAAACATGTTTGGCTAGGAATTGGAGGAGGTAAGGAAAAAACAATTTAAGGAAAATATAATTTAGCAGACGTTATTAGGCATCAATGCCATGGCCTGCTAGTGGTGATGAAGTCTGCAGTTCATAACAATCGAATGACCTGGACCCTCTGCAGTTCTCTCCTGTGCCAGCGACAAAAGGAGGGCGCCCCAGTACAGCCTCCAGGAGCAAAGGGGGAGGTGGCCATCACCTCGAAGTGAATCCAGGCATTACCCTGCTAAATAAGCACTGGGGCAGCACCCAGGCCTTCCTTTGCCTTGCCTTGGGGAAGACTGGGTTGACATCGCTTTCTGGGGCCCAATGGCGGGCCAGGAGCGATCTGGGGAGCTGCGCACCTCCTTGATGACTTTGCCCCCGCGGTGGATGGTGCTGTTGTTGACCATGTCCACGATGGCCACGCCCAGATTGCAGCGGATGCCAAAGGAAATGCAGAAGCCCAGGCCGCTCATGATGGCGATGATGTAGCGCCGCGGCAGGCCGAAGCAAGTGCAGTCGCACAGTGGCGCCTTCTTCTCGGGCGCCTCCAGGGCCTTCCCATCCTCGGTCAGCTCGATGGTCTCCCCAGGGTCTCGCTTCTTCTCCAGCACCCTGTGTGGCACAGCGGGGTGGAGGCAAGGACACCATGGGTCAGGCACCCAGTGCTAGCCCCCTTCTGCGCCCACCCCACCCCCTCCCCGCCGCCGCCCCCAGTCGTCAAGGGTCCGCTGGTGGAGGGCACTCTGCTTTGGGGAGATTAGGGTGGGGGTCATTACTTGGTTTTAAGACCCTCCAGGCCCGGTGGCATTTTGTCTATTCCCCTCCCCTCCGCGGACTCAAACCAGCCCAGCCCCACCCAGCAGAGCAGTGCCTTGATTTACAAACACTTGACCCTACCCTAGGGGCTACTTTCCTGGGGATGGGGGTGGGTGGGCAGGCTGGGGAGTCTGTAGTGAGTGCCGGAAAAACTGCGCAAAGGCCTCCAGCCAGGACCAGTGGAGAGGTCAACTCGCAGGACAGCAGGTGTGGTGGGCTCCCCAGCCAGGGGCGTGCTGCCCCTCGGAGGGCGGACCTAGCCCCGCCTGTCGCCCGAGGCCCGCGGGTTCCTTTTTCCGCAGGTAGAAGCTTCCCAGGTTGTCGCTGGTCGCTGGTATCCCGCCTCCTAGCTGAGCGTGGGCCCCTGGGGAGAAGGCCTCCGCCCGCGCCCGCGCCGGGAAGGTCGCGAAGGTGCTCTGTGCACCACACCCCTCCCCCTCCTCCAGGCCCAGGTGCCAGGTCCAAGCTGGCTCTCCTTACACATCTTACTGTTAAAAAGGATTTTTATTTTTTAACTCGAGTTTGAAACAAAGGCCTCCACAACATATGGCCGACACCTAAGCTTCCGACTGCTGGAACATGAATAATTAATTATTCCCTCTCTGGCGTCATTACCCTCTCCGCTACAAACACGGAGAAATGCCGGGCCAACTTCCAAAGTCATAAACTGCCACTCTGAGATTTGCAACTCTCAACCCACGGTCCACGTTGCGGTGAGAGATCTCAATAGACGTTCTTTTTAAAAATTCGCATTGTATTTTAGAGGCTTTCCATTCCTTTGGGCCGCCGTCGCCCTCGGGGGAAAGGAGAGGAGGAGCGAGTGATGGAATGGTTTCATGTAAAGGTCATAGTGGTCTTCCAGTTCACAGTCTACCCCTGAAATTTCTATTTAAAAACAATATGAGAGGCAACATCTCTGTGGATACCTAGAAATGCTATTCTCTGGATTTAAACAAAGGAACTTTCCGTTTATAATTTTCAGGTATTCCCAACCATATTATTTTTTTTATATGTGCTTATTTAAATGATCTGTGCACACAGTTGTTTAAACACACACACACACACACACACACACACACACACAAAAGGAAATATTTAGATCAACTTCAAGAATGTAGAGTTCGGGATATGAGGTCAGGCAATTTCCGGCAACGGAAAAAGAATATCTGAATTTTGAATTTTCCAAATTACCTACTGGAAAATAGTTTAGGAAGATATTTGAGGGTAGTTTCATTCTTATTCCTAAATCCCAACTCCAATGTTAGAAAATGGCATTTATTTTGGGAGAGAAAAAAATGAACGAATGTGACTGTCCCCCTTTTTCTTTGACATTGGTTTCACATGCGCAGACACGCAAAGCTGAGCTGCACACCTGGAGGCAGTCGGCTGCGAAAGAACAGTCCCTCGGGGCAGCTTAGGGGACTGCAGGGCCTTTGCGGAATCCACTGCCGCATAGGAGCATGCTCTCTCCTACCCAAAGCCCACCCAGACCAAAGAGGTCTGAAAACGGAAAGGCGCTATGGTCAACTCTTTGCATTCCATACACATTTCAAGGCTTCAATTTTCCAAATGTGGCAATTAATGCCCCCTTGGAATCCACCTGTCCTTTTGTCTCTGTCCTCTCTTTGTGATTTTGTACAGTTTCAAGAAAAAGTGTCTTCATGCAACATACTTGAAAGCTTTTAAAGTTGATACCTTTATAGCACATGCGTACTGTGGCTGCCACAAGATAAACGAGATTTTGAATTGTTGGTTTTTGCCACCTCTCTGGGAAGTTCAAACCTATTTCGGTGGTTATTCTTGTTACCACACGGTAGCATTTTCCATGTAACCAAACCTGGCTGTGGGAGAGGACAAACCATTCTAATACAAACACATTGTGTCAGGTTCAGAGACAGGCACTGCTTCAAGTATCAATTATTGATATATTTTGATTCCCCTGCCCTTAGGGTGGAAGGAAGCTTCCACTGGGGGATTCTCTATTCATGGTCTTTCTTAAAGCTGGGATTACAAAAAAAAAATTTTTTTTTTTGCCATTACTCTTTGGATTCTTAATTTCTGGAGACTCTTTTTGTCTTTTCATTTATCAAAATCCAAGGAATTTAACCCTGGGTAGTAAAAAGAAGGGTTTCTTAACCAGGCATTGGCCATTTCTCAATTTTAAAGCATCCCAGGGTGGAAATGGCTAAGAATCTGCAGGTACCACAACAAAAAATTCACACATGCACACAGCAGACAGGTTCATTTAGTGCAACATTCTTGAATTAATAAACAGGTTTCCAGAGCAGCCCGCCTCAGCAATGAGCGACAAAAGATTGTCTGATCATATTACAATCTCGCTAAGCAACCAAGGTTTTCCAGAACCAGCTCTGCGGATATTTTTCACGCGGAGCCCGGGGCAGGCACGGTTTTTCTTTCTCACTTACCTGTAGATCTGGCCGAGGGATTTCCCAGCAAAATTCTTTAGCCCCTCTTTTCCCGGGGTCAAAATCCTTTGTTTTACCGACTCCATTCTGGTAAGGACTGGTGTGGGCTGCAGCCAGATTTAAGTAGTTTTCACTCTGAAAAGCTAGGGGTTTGCATGTTGTCTTAATCGCTTAAGGTGGTTGGTGGCTTGTTCTTCTCAGCGAACTGGTACCGGCGTGCCTCCAGGAGAGTGCGAGCGAGAGAGGGGAGGGAGAGTGAGAAGGGAACAAGAATACGAGAGCGGAGAGCTGCCTGCAACCCACGGGTTTCCTAATAGGAGAGTTGGTAGACACAATCAGAAAGTCTCATTGGAAGGGGAGGATCCGGTGGCAAAGGGCGCGCGCAGTGCCATGGTATTTGGGCGGGTGCAGACAAGTCCTTGTCCTGGAAATCAATCCCCTGTAAGGAAAAAAAAAAAAAAGTAAATTTCTACTTTTGAAGAGCTTATTGCTGTCAGAATTTTCTGGCTTTGAAAAGGAGTGGACGGAAATATCACAAGAACCTGGGGTACGGGCAGAGTCGCCAGAAGAGCACTTTTAAAATGGTGTTTGTGCTGTAAGGAGCCAGAGCACTCCCAAAACTCATGGGAGCGTGTCGGGTCCCAGGTGACCCAAGCTGCTGTCAGTTGCTCCTCTCTGGCCACGCTCTGCTTCCCGGTGGCGCACCTCTGCTCTGCAGTAGGGTCGAATTAAGATGGAGAAAGCTTGCTGCTCTTTGAGAACGTGAGTAAATAACAGATACACTGATTTTAGCAACCACCGCCAACGTTTTTTGTTGTAGTTTTGTTTTGTTTTTCCCCCAGCGCGCTGACCGAGCTCTTCTGGGAGGGTCTCGGCAAAATGGTTCAGCACCAAGGACAGAAGTGAGTTTCAGGAAAAGGCGGAAGGATGCTTCAGCTTGTCGGCTGCCAACTTTCTAGGGGAATTGGGAGAATTGCCCTGACCAAGGGACACTCGAGGACTCTTCAAGAATGGATGCTATGGAAACCAAGTGGCAAGATGTCATCATTTCTAGAGTTTGCCGGGAGAATGGTGCATTTGACGCGACAAAGGAAGAAGGCTTCATTAAAAATTGAGAAGTGACTTCTTCTCTCCCTGCATGCTGTCTCCAGCTCTGACCACGTTGCGGGGGAAGGAAGACCACAGTGTATTTTACTTCTGTTTACCTCGGTCTTCGAGAACACCAGGATCTCCCTTGCATATACAACGATTGAATTGTGAGAAAATGCATAATATGGCTCAGGTGTTTTATTTTAACCCCAGATATAAAAGAAGGGGAAGGGGAGGATAAGAGACAGACAGCCAGCCAGGAAAGGAAGGAGGCAGGGAGGGAGGGAGGGAGGGAGGGAGGGAGGGAGAGAGAGAGAGAGAGAAAGAGAGAGAAACGTTAGGATAAATTTCTTCCAAATGTTCATTTTTTCCACTCAACAGTACACTGTGGAAATATCAATATAATGATAAAATTTATGTCTATGCTTGTCCTTATCAACAAATTGTCATTTTTCTGAAAATTTGCATTGACTATATTTTCAAAATTTTAGTTTAAAGGAATGAAGGGCTGATAGGTTTCTTTCCACCATTTTTCCTTACTGCAAAGTCTTAGATAAGTGTCTACTTCAGGCATTTGGTTCCATAGATATAACTACAGCATCAATGGATCTATTTCATTAAGCAAAGAAGAAAACCGTGCCAGCTTGCTATTATTAACAGATTTCACATGAATCACAAACATTTTAGGTGTAATCCAGCAAATGCTAATAAAACAGATTGGCCTTGAACCACATTTTCAAGGTCAAACCCCTTTAGGTTTCCTTGAAACCAATAAGGGGAGGAGATTTTACTTCAGGGTCCTGGAACCGAATTTCAGAAGTGTGAATCTAAGCACAGAATCACTCACGAATGATCCCCGAATCGGCTGAATGAAACAAGGAATAAGCTGACTGGAAAGCTTAAGGAAATCATTCAAAGGAGCTAAAACAATCTGCCTTTATTAAATGTTATTAAATTGGATTGTCCTCAAATCATATTCCATGTTGGATGATGATAAAGAAGACACGGGTGATGTCTTTCTCTGATTTTGATAAATATATATTAAAATGTATATCACCAGTAAAAAGAGGACTAGATTTGTTTAAACATTGGAATGGCTCCACACAGCATCTGCTCACAAAAGGGATCACTTCTGAGAAAAGACTCTCCTTGCACACATAACATTCAAGCTGATTAGACCCTGATTCTTCTATGTGTTTTCCAAAGGACATAGTGTTCCATTCATTTCATTTAACACACTTAGAGATATCCATGACTTTAGAGATTCTGGAAAGCTATTTTCAAAAGCAGTAAATCCGGTAATAAATAACTGTGAAGCAATGATAGTGGTGATATATTAGTGATTCTGGTAAGCACTCCTGCTTATATTTCATCCCTAATGACTAGAGATCTAAACCATCAGGATTCCTGATTGCTAAATCTGCAATATCATGCCGTACTTGAGGAACACCCAGCAGTATAAATGGAACACAGAGCACTGTATCTAGAGTAAAACAGGTGCATTAATCTTTATTGCTATAAATGTCATTTGGCTCCACTATATTCTGTTGATAACAGATCAAGTGAGTGCCTGAGTCAGGATAGGAGCTCTGGTGGTATAGTGGGTTATGTGTTAGGCTGCTAACCAAACTGTTAGCAGTTTGAAACCAGCAGCCCCTCCATGGGAGAATAATGAGGCAAAGCACTCCCATAGAGAATGACAGTCTCAGAACCCCCTGTCGTGCAGGGTCACTATGAGTCAGAATTGACTCGGTATCAGTGAGTAAATCAAATGTTGATGCTTAATTATTCATTCTAAGTATATTCATCAAACATCAAGAATGTCACCAAGTTCTATAAATGCATGCTTAAAAATCGTACAAGCTACTTGGAAAATAGACACATAAATACAATTAGAAATGCTTATGGGTGAAATCAAACAACTTAAATAACCCAACCTGGGAGGAAGAGGATTTTTAGGAAATGATGTGTCCTATATGGTCTTAATAATTTAAAAGAAACTTAGCCCAATATAGATAATTCCAGCCCAAAAGGAATTGGGTTAGAAGCATCCTAACCAGAGGGAACATTTACAGCAAAGTCATTTAACAAGGAGAACAAAGGTTTATGTGGAAAATTACAAGAATTGTTACAAGGTCACTTGATGTTGAAGAATACCTTAAACTAACAGCTACTCCTGAATGTAAAACCTACACAAACCCATTGCTATCCAGTTCTTTCCAACTAAGAGCGACCGATAATGACCTTTCCAATAAAAGTAGAACAGAGTGGAACTTTTCTTTGGGTTTCCAAGGTAAATTTTTATGGGAGCAGAAACCACCATCCCCCTCCCCCCCAGCTACTGGTGGAGTTGAACTACTGACCTTGTAGTCAGCAGCTTTCCAAGACACCCACTATGCTACCAAGGCTCCCTAATACAGAAGACCGACACTCAGACAATCATACCCCAATGAAAACATTGGTCAAGCTACTGTTTTTGATCCACAGTTAATCAGGTTTATTTTTATACAAAGAAATACTAGTAGAAGTGCCTATGGTATTATTCTAGGGATTTAAGGACATCTTCCCTTTTCTGGGCAACATTTCTTATTCAAAATTATCTTTCATCCGATTTTAACAGTGGCTAAAGTTGCATCCTGTCAGTTTATCATACTGACATAACTTCATTGCTACCTTGTGTACGGTTATGATACTGGAAGCTATGCCAACTCACAACTCCCCCAGTTGGACAGCAGCCCCCC